ATTAGCGGATGTGCAAGTGCACATCTGTTTAATGTGGAAGGTTTAACCCCACTATGAAGGATATATTTCCCTCCCCACCCTTATCTGCCTTCCTGAGGGACCGCTCTCTTTGCGACTCCCTCGTCCGCTCCACACTCCCCACTAGCCGCACCACCCCTGGCACCTTTCCCTGCAACTGCAGGAGGTGCTACACCTGCCCTACATCTCCCCCCCTCACCTCCATCTCAGGCCCCAGAAAAACCTTCCACATTAAACAGATGTTCACCTGCACATCCGCTAATGTAGTCTATTGTATCCGCTGATCCCGATGTGGCCTCCTCTACATTGGGGAGACCAAGTGGAGGCTCCAAGATCGCTTTATGGAACACCTATGCTCAGTTTGCAACAAACAACAACACCTCCCAGTCATGAACCACTTCAACTCCCCCTCCCACTCCCTGGACAATATGTCCATCCTGGGCCTCCTCCAGTGTCACAACGATGCCACCCGGAAACTGGAGGAACAGGAACTCATATTCCGCCTTGGAAGCCTACAATCCAGTGTGGACTTTATTAGCTTCAAAATCTCCTCACCCCTGACCTCATCCCAAGACCAGACATCCCTCTCATCCCCGTCTCCTTGCCATGTCCGTCTTCTCTCCCACCTATCCACCCCTCCCTCCTCACTGACCAACCCTCATCCCCACTTCCTACCTACACTCATCTTTACTAGCTTCATCCCTGCCTCCTTGACCTGTCTGTCTTCTCTCCCACCTATCCGCTCCACTATCCACCTTCAATCACTGCCCCCCTCTCTCTATTTATTTCAGAGCCCCCTTCCCCTCCCCCATTTCTGAAGAAGGGTCCCGACCCGAAACATCAGCTTTCCCGCTCCTCTGATGTTGTCTGGCCTATTGTGTTCCTCCAGCTCCACACCTTGTTATCATCCTTACCTGGTCTGGCCTACATGTGACTCCAGACCCACAGCAACGTGGTTGACTCTAAACTGCCCTCTGAGAAATTAACGATGGGCAATAAATGCTGCCTAGTCAGCAACGGCCTCATCCCATGAACAAATTTAAAAAAAAACCTATTGAGGCCCTAATCAAGCTTCAGGTAATTAACTGGTAACAAAGAGGACTGAGTGAAAGTTATTAACATTTTCAGTAGACTACTGAATTTCAAACTTGTTTTTAAAAAAAATGCTTTATCAGTTTAATTCCTCTGCTGCTCCAAAATCCCAGATCTACACACTCACTCAGGCTGTGCCAAGCTTTACATTATCTCAATAATTTTACATCCTGACCCTGTCTCTTTTCTGTAGAAGCCCACTATCTCTATACCTAAACCACCAACCAGGTAGGACTGATGGCCTGTGGTTTCTTCCTTGCCGATACGAAGGCAGGTCACATTGTGGACAGTGCGGAGGGCTGTTCTAGGTTACAAAGGGACATTGATAGGATGCAGAGCTGGGCTGAGAAGTGGCAGATGGAGTTTAACCCTGAAAAGTGTGAGGTGATTCATTTTGGAAGGAAAAACTTGAAAGCAGAATGCAGGGTTAACGGAAAGATTCTTGGCAGTGTGGAGGAGCAGAGGGATCTTGGGGTTCATGTTCACAGTTCCCTGAAAGCTGCCACCCAGGTGGATACAGTTGTTAAGAAGTTCTATGGTGTGTCAGCTTTCATTAATAGAGGGGTTGGATTCAAGAGTCGTGAAGTTATGCTCCAGCTATACAAAAGCCTGGTTCAGCCACATCTGGAATATTGTGTCCAGTTCTGGTCACCTCATTACAGGAAAGATGTGGAAGCGTTGGAATAGGTGCAGAGGAGATTTACCAGGATGTTGCCTGGAATGGAGGGAAGGTCTTACGAGGAAAGGTTGAGAGAGCTAGGGCTTTTCTCTTTAGAACGACAAAGGATGAGAGGTGACTTGATAGAGGTGCATAAAATGATCAGAGGTATAGATAGAGTAGATAGCCAGAGACTTTTTCCTAGGGTGGTGGTAGCTTTTATGAGGCGACATAGTTTTAAAGTGAAAGGAGGTAGATATCGGGGAGACGTCAGAGGTAGGTTCTTTACTCAGAGAGTGGTAGGGGCATGGAATGCATTGCCAGAGAGGGTAATGGAGTCGGCCTCATTAGGGGCATTTAAGCGGCTATTAGATAGGCATATGGATGATAGTATAAGGTAGCAGTGGAGGTTAGATAGACTTTATGTTTAGGAGAAGTTCGGCACAACATCGTGGGCCGAAGGGCCTGTACTGTGCTGTACTGTTCTATGTTCTATGAGAGATCCAACTCATCTCTATCCACCATCATCCTCCTCGACCTGACTGATCTTGTTCTCTGATTGAATAATTTTCTGTTACCTTGTTTCAGTTGCTGCAAATAAAAGGTGTTGCTATCATTACCTGTAGTTATGTCTAGTTAACCCAGTCTTTTCGTGGAGTATGTGGAACATACTTCATTCTGGTCCTGTTCAGCCCCCCTCTCCAACTTGTTTCCCAGTACATTGAGGGCTGCCTTCATGCCATTTTCTGCTGCCACCTGGAATTAGAAAGCTTAATCAACTCTGTTTCCAATTCCCATACATATTCCTTTCACATTGTTCCACAATGCAAAGCAGGGGCAGCACGGTGGCTCAGTAAGTTAGCACTGCTGCCTCACAGCGCCAGGGACCTGAGTTTGATTCCACCCTCGGGTGACTGTCTGTTTGGAATGTGCACATTCTCCCCTTGTTTGCATGGGTTTCCTCCGGGTGCTCCAGTTTCCTCCCACAGTCCAAAGATGTGCAGGTTAGGTGGATTGGCTATGCTAAATTGCCCAGGGTTCAGGGATATGTAGATTAGGTGGGTTACAGGGTTGGTGTGGACTTTTTGGGCCAAAGGGTTTCTGTGATTGTTCATCTCTGTCACTTCCAGTCCATAACCTCTCTGCATTTCTGGGGATAGGCTATCTATTAATATTCATTATAAGTTCGCTGGACCTACACCCTGTCTCCTTTAAAGAATGACATTTCATTTCTTCAGTTTCTATATCTGTCACATGATGCAACCTTCCACAATAGTTAATCTGATGTGTCTTCCCTTTTCCTCAAATAAGGACTTTCCTCATCTCTGCTGTAGTTGACAGAGCCTGAACATTATCTGAAACATTTCCCACACTTCTGCTATCACCCCACCCTCCCGGAAATCACAATTGGGCTTTTAAAAAATGTGTTCACAGGATGTCTGTGTCAATGGCCGGCATTTATTGCTCATCCCTGATGTGGTTTGCATGGACTTCAGTAAGGCCTTTGACAAGATGCTGATGGAAAGCATGTCAAAAGGTGACAGTCCATGGGATCTGAGGCAAGTGGCAAACTGGATCCAAAATTGGCTTACAGAAAGGACGTAACAGGTGACAGTGGTGGTTTGTTTTTGTGATTGGCAATGTACATTAATAACTTAGATGTGTACATAGAATGTATAATGAGGTTTGCAAATGATACAAAAATTAGTGAAGTTGTTGATAGTGAGAGGCTTAGGCTCCAGACTGATATTGGTTAGTAAGTAAATTGGGCACAGTAATGGCAGATGGAAGTTAATCCTGATATGTGTGAGATTATAGGGGAGGTCTAATAAGGGAAGGATATACACAATGAATGGTAGGACACTGTGGAGTACAGAGGAACAAAGGGACCTTGGTGTACAAGGTCTGAAGGCAGCAGCACAAGTGGATAGGGTGGTGAAGAAGGCATATATGATGCTTCATTAGCAGAGTGTAGAATCTATGAGCAAGGAAATCTTGTTGCAACTATATAGAGCTTTGGATAGGCTACAGATGGAATACATGTGGTTCTGGTTGCCCGATATTGGAAGGAAATGATAACATTGGAGAAAGTGCAAAACAAATTCATCAGCATGTTGCCTGGGATGCAAAAGTCTCAGTTATGAGGAGAGAGTGCATTAGGCTGGGTTTATTTTCCTTGGAGTAGAGGAGGCTGAGGAGGATCTTACTGAGGTCTACATCATGAGATACATAGGGTAGATTGTGGGAAATTCTTTTCCCATGACAGAATTGTCGAAGACCAAAAACCATATGTTTAAGGTGAGGAGTAAGTGAGTTAGAGGAGATCTGAGGAAAAACATCTTCACCCAGTTGAAATATGGAACATGCTGCCTAAGAGGATGGTGGAGGCAGCTGCTCTTGCAACATTTAAGAAACATCTGGGTGACACTTAAAATGCCTGGGTAGATTAGGCTAGGGACCAAGTGCAGATCAATGGAAATAAATATAGTTTTGGTGTTTGATGGTTGGCATAGACTTGCTGGGCTGAAAGGCCTGTTTCTATGCTGCATGATTTTATGATTGCCCAGAGGGTTGTTACGAGTCAACCACATAGAGAAGAACTTGGACAGGCCATGAGAGTGGACAAAGAAGTGGCAGATGGAATACAGTATGGAAAAGTGTGAAGTTATACACCTTAGTAGGAAGAATAGAGGTGTAGACTGCCTTTTAAATGGTGAACTTCTGTACTCAATGGAGTTTAGAAGGATCGGGGTGGGGGGATTTAATTGAAACTTACAAAACTGAGATGACGCCAAGTTCTAAAAGGTGGTGAATCTGCCAGCCTCATTGTCGCAGAAGGCTGTGAAGGCCAAATTATTGAGTGTCTTTAAGACAGAGATAGACAGGTTCTTGATTATTAAGGGGATCAGGGGTTACAGGGGTTGAGAAACATTTCAGCCATGGTCCAATGTGGGAATAGACATGACGGGCCAAATAGGCTAATTCTACTTCTCTATCTTATGGTCTGTCAGTCTGGACATATTTGTAAGGCCCGACTAAGTAAGGACAGCAGATTTCCTACCCTAAAGGACATTAGCAAACCAAATGGGATTTTACAGCAATTGACAATGGTTGCACAGTCACCAATAGGTCATCTCTTTATTCCATAGTTTATTGAATTTAAATTTCACCATCTGCTACGGTGGGATTCAAACCCATCTCCCCAGTACACTGGACTGGGATTCTGGATTACTAGTTCAGTAGCATTACCACTGAACCACCACTTCCACTTGAAGGGTCCTCTTCCATACCATCAGATCCCGTGTTCAATGGATCACTCTCCACAAATTCCATCTCTAGCACAATGCCATCATCAAGCACATCTTCCCCTCTACCTGCCCTGTCAGCATTCCAGAGGGACCATCTCTCCATGACATCCTTTATCTGCTCCATATCATAGAATCTTACAGTACAGAGCAGGCCAATCAGCCCAATGAGTCCGCACCAACCAAATGCTACTCTAAATCTACGCTATCCCACTTTGAGGTCTCCTGCCTTAACTACCCTCCCAAGCAGTGCATTCTGGATTCCCACCACCCTCTGTGTAAAAGTATTTTTCCTATAATCCCATCTAAATGTCCTTTCACCTTAAAATTGTACCCCCTTGTTGACCTTTCAACTAAGAGGATCAGCTGCTTCATATACATCACGTCCATGCCCTTTATAACCTTATACACCTCAATCAGATCTTCTCTCATCCTTCTCTGCTCTAAAGGAAACAGCTTTAGCCTATCCAGCCTCTCTTCATAGCTAAGATCCCAGGCATCCATTCCGGACAACATTCTGGTGAATCACCTCTGCACCCCGTCTGGTGCAATCACATCCTTCCAATAGTGCAGTGACCAGAACTACACACAATAGTCCAGCTGTGGCCTAACCAGTTTCATACAGCTCCAGCATAACCTCCCTGCTCTTATAATCTATGTCATGACTGATAAAGGCAAGTGTCCTGTCTGTCTTCTTAACTACCTTCTACCTGTCTTGCCACATTCAGGAATCTGTGGACAAGCACCTTAATTCCTCTGTTCTTCTGAGCTTCCTGGTGTCCTGTGATTCACTGGAAGAATTAACAAGACAAGGCAGCAATCAAAGTTCATCAGCTCACACTTATCAGTGATAATTTCCATCTGCCTCAGAACTGCCCAACTGACCAACCTTTCTATATTCTCCTGTAACCTTCTTCCTCACTGACAACTGCCGAGCCAATTTTTGTGTCATCCACAAACTTTATCATCCAACCCCTCACAGTTTCTTCTATATCCTTTATATTTATCATGAACTCAGCACAGATCCTTGTGGTACACCATTAGATACTGGCCTCCAGTCACAAAGAGCCTTCAAACACCACACTCTGCATCCTTCCACTAAGCCATTTTTGGATCCAACTTGCCAAGTTACCCTGGATACCATGTACATTTACCCTCTTTATCAGTCTCCCATGTGGGACTCAGTCAAAGGCTTTCATGAAATCCACATCAACTGCATCAACTGCACTACACCCATCTAACACTTGGCCACCTCCTCGAAAAATTCAATCAAATTTGTTAGGCATGATCTCCCTCTGACAAAGCCATGATGACTATCCCTGATCAAACTTTCAAGCGAGATTAATTCTCTCCTTCAGAATTTTCTCAAATAGTCTTCCCACCACTGATGTGAGACTCAGTGGTCTGTACTTACCTGGTTTACCTCTGCCACCCATATTCAAAATTGCAACCACATTAGCTACCCCAACATTTTATCCCCTTCCCATGGGACCTTGCAGAGAGTAACAGCTACATTTTTACTTTCTCCCTCTTCATTACACAAGACCCCAAGGTGGAATAGCAACTTACTTATACTTCTTTCGATTTGGTATATTGAATTCACTGCTGTCAATATGGTTTCCAATATGCTGAGCAGACAAAATACAGATTGACTGACTGCTTTGTAGAATACTTTTGCTTGATTGACAAGCATGACCCTGCATTTCAAGTTCCTTGTCAGTTTAACCCACCACCTTGCTGTCTCATTCACACTTCTGTTCTTGTCTTGCTGCAGTGGTCCAGTGAATCTCAGTTCAAGCCGAAGGAACAGAATCTTATCTTCCAATTAGGCATTTTGCAACAGCTAGAACTCAATGTTGAGTTCAATAATTTCAAACCATGAACTCTGTCACCAACTTGATTCATATGTTGACCATATGTTGACTTCAGCCTTATTCCTTATGTTTTCGCTTTTGAACAGAGCTGTGTCATTGAACATAGAACAGTACAGCACAGTACAGGCCCTTCGGCCCACGATGTTGTGCCGACCTTTTTATCCTACTCTACGATCAAACTACCCTGCATACCCTACATTTTACTATCATAAAGGTAGTGGTGTCATTCACTGTCACTGTGCAAATGCTTTGTTTCTTCACCAAAACAATTACCACTTTGCCTCTTATTTGAAAACATTTGTTCTTCAGCTCACCACTACCTTTAAGATAATTAGTTTCCCACAACTTATATGTAAAAATTGAACTGGAAAAGCCAATGGCAAGATTGCAGAACCTGTACTAACTCTCTGCAACTAAGGTTAGATAATCATTTTAGGAAATCTGTTCAAATATTCAATAGAGTAACAGACAAACCAAATGCAAGTTTTACTTTGTTATTGTTGTAAGTTCCAATGAAATTGGCATTGAACTTTAATATAAATACTTAAACTAATTTTCTTAAGATTATGCAGTCATTATTTTAGATTTGCATTGTTTGGCCATTTAACTGAAACATTACTATAACCACATACTTTTGTTTAAGAACCTACTTAAGAATAATACTTCTAATGAATTCAGTGAAGTTTATATTTATTTTGGGTAAAAGACTTTCATGATTGCTCAGTTAAACACAATAAAATATAAAATTTCCTGTCAACATAGAAAATGTACATATTTTCATAAAAAGAAAAGCAGCAGTAAAGGAAAGGTCACTTTTATCTTAGGAGAGACTTATAAAAAAGCTATATATATATTTAACTCTTTGTGACTATTTGGTGTAAGCTGAATATGGATGGTTAAGCCAGGAGAATAATATCTCAATATTAAACTGAAAATATGTTTATGTTCCAGTAATCCTAATTATTGGTAAATATTGTTAGAAATCTATGTATTTACATTTTGCTGAGTGAAGATTTGGATAACATCATAGTAAATGACAATTATAAATTTTGATGAAGGAGATATTTTCTGGTAGCTGTTATAAATTCTTCAGAATCTCTTATAACTAATTTCACTCTTCAAGCACCAGACCTTTTAATATTTGTTGCTTGCATCCAGGCTGAAGTACTTTGACTATGAAAAGACGGATCCATATGTCATTAGTATAAATTTCAAGTCCATTTGGAAGTTATATTTCCTCACAGAAGAATCATTGATGGATAGAAGATAAAGAATATACGTGGCCACAAGTAATAACCTCCAAGAACTAAGTTAAAGAAAACACAGTGTGGAGTTGGAGGAACACAGCAGGCCAGGCAGCATCAGAGGAGCAGGAAAGCTGACGTTTCGGGTTGGGACCCTTCTTCAGAAACGGGGGAGGGGCAAGGGAGCTCTGAAGTAAATAGAGAGAGGAGGGGTGGGGCTGGGGAAAGTAGGTGGGATCATGATAGATGATTGCAGGTAGGCAGTGGTGGGGATTGGTCAGTGAGGTGGGAGGAGTGGATAGGTGGGAGAGAAGATGGATATGTCAAGGAGGCAGGGATGAGAGGGAGGGTTGGTCATGGGATGAGGCCGAGGTTGGGGAGATTTTGAAACTAGTAAAGACCACATTGAGACCATTTGGTTGTAGGCTCCCAAAGCGGAATATGAGGTGCTGCTCATCCAGTTTCTGGATGATGTCGTTGTGACACTGGAGGAGGCCCAGGATGGACATGTTGTCCAGGGAGTGGGAGGGGGAGTTGAAGTGGTTCGTGAGTGGAAGGTGTTGTCATTTGTTGTGAACAGAACACAGGTGCTCTACAAAGCGGTCTCTGAACCTCCGCTTGGTCTCACTTGGACGCCACCTCCAGCTCCAAAATGTGTTATCTCTGACTCCAGCATTGGCAGTTCTTCCTATCTCTGACTAAGTTAAAGATATTATGTTTACTGCTTCAAGTTATCTGCACAATGCTGGTGGGGTTGTTATTGCTCTATTTTTCTGCTGATAGAAAATCTGGTAATTGAGAAATAACAGCCACTTTGTCATTGATATTTTGTCAAAGCTCAACAAAAGATTATAAAAGAATTACTGGAAGTAATGATCTATAGTTCACGAGCAGATAATAAGTAAGTGCAGATTATAATGATAAATCTCCACCCATTCTTTCGACAGGCTAAAGCTAACAGTTGAATTGTGGGCTGATAAATGTTAGGGTTATATTTGGGCCTGTATGAATAGTGAAGCTCTTTGCCAATGGTTCATCCTCATAAACTGTTAGGTCATGTTCACATGCATTAACAAACTCCAATTTGCTGTGTGGCTGCATTAAGTTTATTATTCACAAATTGAAAATGGTAAATGTGGCATTTTGCTTGTCTCTTCTCTTTAAACACAATGGGTAATGCTCTTAAATGCTCTTAAACAAAGGAATCTTAAGTTTAGAGAGCCAAGCATTTAAGTTTTGAAAGCATAGCCACAAAACGGGTCCATGCAATTTTGGAGCAGGAGACTCTCCAAAGGGGAGAGTTGGGGAAGTATAATAGGGATTCAATAACTAGAGGGACCAATGGCATCCTTGGTAAATAGAGTGAGGGCCCCACTCGTTTCAGAGTGAGGGACATCTTGAAATGAGTCAAAAGGATAGTACAGATGAACATTATAGAAAAAGTAGCTAAGACGTACTGTTTGAACAAAACCAAGAACCAGGAGCGAAAGAACAAGATATCAAGAGGTATAATCTTTTGGCAATTGCCATGTACAAACTGGAGTAGGGATAAGCAGATTAGAGGGGTCAATACATGGCCAGAAGCATGGTGGGAAAGGGTGTAAATATTTGATGAGGCACTGCCACTGCTATTCGAACAGGGAGGAACTATACCATTGGTACAAGCTTCACTAGTTGAAGAATAAATGGTCCACCAGGATTTTAACTTAGTAAATTATGGTGAGTTGGCATGAAGGGCTCAGGTGGAAGCTATATTACACCATTCATACACAAAAAAGGGAGAGCGTGGAATAAAAATTGAAAACTGTACTTAGAGATAATGGGACAATGAGAAGTTGCAGATGGAAATAAGAACCATGCTAATAAAACATTAAAGCAAAAGGAAAGGTAGGCGGTGCATTCAAATGCAA